AAACCTGTTGTTAGGTTTCAAGTTTAGCAAGTTATTAGATTTATAGATAATGTATTATATAGTTAAGGTATTATTATAAGTAAATTTGTGATTACATAATTTATGTTACTTAATAATATCTGATAATACCATATATTAAGAAGGGAGGTGTGATATATGTAGGTATAGATTAATATTATACTATGTAGGTAGGCGCCACCGCGCGTCTTCACTAGCAGTCGCTCAATACATGTTATGAAGTCACACCGTGTTTTATTATTTAAATACCGAGTTATCCAATATATCTCACTTTGGTTTAATACTCAAAGTCTTCAGAGCTTTCTGATGAACCTCCTTAAAGTAGGAATCTCAAAGTATGAATTTTTTTTATAGAAGAGGGGGTAAACGAGCATACTGTTCACCTGATGTTAAGTGACTACCACCGCCCATGAACATTCGCAACACCAGAAATTAAATAATAACTTATCAATTGTGTTAAGAAGATCGTGTAAAGTTTTCATCGTATATTCATAAATAATTATTGTTATTTAAAATACAAAATGTTCATGCTACTGACACAATTCTTCAAGAGCTTGTGAAAAAACAGCCTGCGCACCCACGCTCAGGAGTGGAGTAGCTTGATCCTGGATGCTCAGCGACGGATTCTCGGGTAGTCTTGCATTTGATTCCGCTGCTATGTAGATGGTGGGAGGAGATTGGGCCTCCGGCCACCTGCACTCACCAAACGAAACGCAGAACCAAAGCCTCTACTTCACGCTGATCTTCTGTGAGGTCGTGGTACCACCCCGGTTTGAGCCAGCTCATGCGTGCAACAGCAAAGGTGCTGCGTGGAGAGCCATTGTTAAAAACCAATTTGTCCAAAAACAAATTTCTCCAAACTCACACATTAGTAAGAAAAGAAATGTGTACCCACCATAGAATACCATACCATACCATAGAATGCCAACCTTATATTGTACGACGATAGACGTCGCTGGGAGCACACATACAAGCAATTACGTAGTATTATCACTGCTACCATCCCGATTCGCTGTGTTGATAGACAGATTTTAATATATATTTATTTATAAATAGCGTGCAATTTGGCATTTTCTAAATAATTTGGAAATTTGGAAACAATTGTAACCTCAAAATACATCTCGTGTTGACATTTATACGTGTGAATTGACGTGTTAGTGACATTTTAGTGGTTGCACGGGCTCCGCCCACTACCCCGTTCTATTATGAATGTAATTATAGTATTTTATGGTACCCACAGTTGTGCAATATTTTAATCATTTTCGCGTAAGTGGCTGTTAAAGAAAAATAGAGAAATTATTTTTGTCACTCGCCATCAGATTGAGTACATAAGATATAAAAAATAGAGATTTTATTTTAATCTAAAAAAAATCTAGAATCGACGCTACTTAGCGAAATATTTCTCAATTTTAAGCTGATTCCAGCTCAAAAACGCATCATAAGTTCGTACAAATAAAAAGCATAATGTTATTAAATTTCTTCCCGCAGGACGATCCAATGTTGTTGATGATTCTAATACGGATGTGATACTTCAGGGTATGGAGCTTTTTATAACATCTTCTGTGGTGCCTATCGGTGGCAGATCTCACCCATGTTTTGGTCGCTCCTGCAAAAAAAAAAAAACACGCTACAAGCAGAAGTGGCTACAGGAGGATTCCCGGGATGTAAACACCAGCGCTCTTAAAAAGAAGTATAATTCCGCCTCCAGGTCCTTCAAAAGCATAGATGTTCGCGTAGCTCAGCCCTTTACTCCTCGTACTTTAAAACACTTGCAGGTTCGAATGGGTTGAGGACGTAAAGAATGTATGAAGTGATATTTCGCTACAGGCAGAATATTAATGCGTAATTTTATAGCTCGCACTACCAGATGCTCGGACAATAAGCTACTTTTTGGTAACAAGTAACTTTTGGGTGAAATTTCTGACTCGATTCTTATAGCATTGCAAGCACAATTTAGTGCAAGCAAAGTAATGCAAATCTTATAAAGGAAATATTAGGACTAATAATATATTTTCAAATATCACAATATTTCTAGAAAAACAAAAAAATAATAACGCCTAAAACAATGATAACATTTGTAAGTTCGAACTACAGTCGCCTAAACACGCTTGTGTGTAGCGAATATTTTTTATCAAACCAATTTGTTGCACGGTGACGGTACAGATGTTCAGCCCTGACAATCTGCGACCGGTGTCTGCCACTGACAAGGCCTCGCATGTTGTGTCGACATGTGACTGTTTTTTTATTTATTTAATAAAACTGGATTGACAAACGAGCACACAGTCGTCCACTTGATGGTAAGTGGATGCTGTGGACACAGACATCTTCATTTATCCCTTATTAAAAATGCAGATGCGTTGTCACCCCTGAAGACTAAGATGGAATGCCTTATTTCCAGTGAAAAGGGTCTCCGGTTCTCTACACTCACCATACGAAAGATACCCCGGTTGAGCCAACCCATTTGCGCTACAAACATGGTATAGCTGCAGCATAGCTCTACCACACTGACGTTACTCTACTTTCCCGACTATAACTTAAGTTGACAACAATTATGTTTGTACTCCTAAAGTTATCAACTGAAAATGACTAGGAATACATATACCTAGTTGTTTCCGTGTAAATTTCCTACAATTATGGTAATATCTACAGCAAAAACGTTTCAATAAAATAAAGACGTATAATAATGTTTATTCAAGTACCATTACAAAGTAATTAATAAAAATAATTTTATTATAAAATTGTCGAATGCTGTCTTTATTTACATTTTGCAATGTGTGTTCATAATTAATTCTTTTGTTTAAAAAAAAACTTCTCAATGATCAATTTTACTAATAAGTACTTTTGACTGTTTATCGTGATCATCCAGAGATGTGAAAAAATAATATATATTGACGATTAATATTAATATATTTAACGATTCTATATCATTATGTTGAGAATGTAAAACTGCAATACAATCTCTCTACACTTAAGTTTGTTTTTCAAAACTTTTACAAACCTTTAAACAATTTTAATTTTATTTCTTATATACATGGCAAAGGAAATATCTTAATGCTAATATGTTTTGAAGTGGCAGAGAATTTGCATTATAGCAATATATTATATATGTTGAATTATTTTAGATTCCATACTTTTTTGAGCACATATATCTTCTTAACTTTTTTCTTATCTATTATTCTTCTCTTTAATTTGAATATTATTTTTAAAATTTCCCTCTATCTTGGTTCCACTCCAATATCACTGATATGTAGACGATCTATATGGAAGAATGCAGTTCAACCTGGAATTCAAACAAATTAAATAGACAAGGCAGACTTGTTTCACATAACTTATGTGACTGATGTGATGTAAGGGCAATCTAACATATAATCTAATTTAACCATAATATAATATAGAAGTAAGTCAAGTCATCGCTGACGCGAACTCATAAGTTTTCCCCTACCAAAAATCCCTCAACGCAACTAAAGGAGTTTTCCTTTTCAAAGATGTTTTTAGATTTCTTAATTTGGGAAAATTTTCATTTATTTTCAAAAATAATGGCAAGACATTTTAAATTTCGGTATTTTGATAAAAGGCTATCGGTAGAAATACCGAAAAATCTACTTTATTCTTAAACACAACATTGCTAAAATGCTAGGGTATACAAGGTCTTCAGTCAAACAGAATACATTTTATGCTGTTTTATATAATATATTATAATATTAAGAAATATATTTATGAAATACAATACTTTTAACAACATGTTGATGCGACTCGTTGCGATTTTTTTAAGATGTTTACTTGTAGTAAATATAGTAGTTATATATTATATAGTATATATGTATTAATATACTATTTGACCTATTTAAATAGGTTTTCCAGTAGCTGATATTCCATAGCTCAATGTTTCGTTTCGTTCGTAGATGGATAAGTTTACAGTTGCATTGAAAATAAAATCTTCGACGATCCATCACTACCTTCAACAAGTATTAGGTCAATTTTTTTAAGATGTTATAGATAAGATGTTAAAAAAATTGAATAGATATCAATTTTTTCAATTGATATCAGAAATTTGAATAAATTCTCTGTCTACAGTTTCAGGTTATACGATGATCTTTATGACTTTTAAACATATTTAGATAAAAATTAAACGTATATTTATATAGTTCTCTAACGAAATTTAAAATAACAATTAAATTTTATACGTAATACCGGATAAAATGTACTATACTTACGATTGAAATAATATACCGGTGAGTTTACGTTCACTATCACTTTTACATCCTAAGACACTACATCTAACCATTTTTAAATTGTTCTAAGAACTAAACTGAACAAGATTCACCAATCTTAAGTTCTTAAGCTCACAAAACACTTTTTTTTTCAATTAAACCAACTTGTAAACTCCTTAGATCGCTACGAACTATCAAAGTTGTTTAGCAAAGTGTAGTTTCCTAAACAAAAAAACCGGCACTGAGAAAGGGACAAACAATTACACTGCTCTGTCTCATTTCTATGCAAGACGTATGCATAAATCTATCTTTTTCGTGTGCGAATGCGAAAGAAGGCGTCAATTTGTCTATAGGTTTCTCTGTCTACGATTTGTAGTACCTATAATTATATCATCATAGTAATATTATCAATTTACTGCTTATTACATTTTAAGTATAACAAATATTATCCGCTTCAGCTGCTGGAGATATTATCGTGTCCCAAGTGTTCGCTGGGTCAAAGCTGACTAAATGTGTCTAAATTTCTTAAAAATTTCGCAATTTAATCAAATAGTAAAAAAATGTGAATAAAAGTCTTACCAGACTAGGATAAACTTTAATATTGCTTGAATATCAAGACTTTGTATCTATGGTCAAGTAATAAATTAAAAAAAAAACTCTTTGTGACGTTGACAGGTGTCTCCCTTCGTTTTCTCTTCAATTCAAGAAATCAAACGTGCTTGTTCTCTCTGAGCTAAGGCCTTTTGGCGACTTGCACTAAATAACTTAAAAATGGCATCAAAGGCTGAATTAGCTTGTGTTTACTCTGCACTCATCTTGGTTGATGATGATGTCGCCGTTACTGTAAGTATTATTGACTAAAAACTTGGAACATGGTTTCTACGGTTCTAGATTTTCATCCAAGTTAATCTTTAATTATAACTTTCTTTTTACCTCATTACTTGTTTCCTTTTAACATTATCCTATTTAACAGTACAGTATGACTTTGATTTTATCTATTCTACATTGTAAAATATGTCATTTTCATGACATATTTTACAATGTAGAATAGATAAAATAACCTATAAAAAACACCCTATAAAAAAACATGCTTGTTTGTTTATAGGGTGAAAAGATCTCCACTATTCTTAAAGCCGCTGCCGTTGATGTAGAGCCATATTGGCCAGGCTTATTCGCAAAGGCTTTGGAAGGTGTAAATGTGCGTGACCTCATCACAAACATCGGATCTGGAGTTGGAGCTGCCCCTGCGGTTGGTGGTGCACCCGCTGCTGCTTCAGCTGCAGCTCCGGCAGCAGAACCAGCCAAGGAAGAGAAAAAGGAGGAAGAACCTGAGGAGTCTGATGATGATATGGGCTTCGGTAAGTTAATTTTCTTTATCAAAATATTTTTTTGAAGTATATTAAACATGGCATAGAACCTAATTCTGCTTTCTTTGCGCATAACATTTTACACAAATACCACCATGATTTAGTGATAGACTTATACTTTAATGCATTTATATGTGTTAGGGCCGTGCTGAAGTTTTAATATGGTTGTAGCATGAATGGGTCGGCTCGACCGGGGTAGGACCATGCTCTCACAGAATACCAGCGTAAAAATAGCAGCTTAATACTGCTGTGTATTGTATTATGAGTGTGTAGAGTAGAGATGAGTCATACTAGTATGTGCACCCAGTCCAATTCCATATAAATACTCGATCCAAATACTTGTTCCACCTAGTCCATTAAGTATCAAGTACGCTTAAAGTTTAGTATTGTTGAAATAGGATATGCTACAGTTTTAAGTACCATATTTTACATGCGTACTGCTGAAACTTTGAAGAATTTGTTAAGAAGAAATTGTAATCTTCCCTTCATATTTTACAAAATTATTATAATCATTCTCGTAAACTAAATTATGAGAATTAAGATTATACAAGAAATAAATTAAGATAATTTACTTCAAATACTCCCTTCCGCCATACTACTTTCTTTACTCGATGTAGTACTTCAAAGTATGTGTAGATGGCGCGTTTACAGAATTGTTTCATATTTTGTAAAATTTGTTTTAAAAGATTTTTATCTTCGATTTATTTAAAAACTCTAGAATGGGAGTGAGTACTCCCATTCTAGAGTTTAAAAAAAAGAAAAAATACCTATTGTTTTTGTATGTCTTGATTTTAAGCTGCTATGGTTTTTTTTACTATTGCTACAATTCTGTAATAGGTTGATGCATCTCATAATGACGGAAGGGAGAATTTAAAGTAGATTATTTTCATTTATCTCTCATATAATCTTAATAGTAACAAGACTAATTATAATAACTTTTTAGAATATTGTTTGCATAATTCTTATAAACATTAGAAAAAGAATTTTCTAAAAAAAAAAAACAAAAAAAGTGAGTTTGTCAGCTCCGACGCACAACTGATGTTTACTCCTTATGAACGATTATAAAATATATAGATTAGTAAATGTGGGTAAATTAACGCATTTTTATACTACTGAAAGCATGCATGATACAACTTATATTAATTATATAATTTATATTAATCAAAATATATTACATAATCATGGAAACGTAAATTGTTTAAGTTTCCAATACTATGTTACGTAGTCATGTAAACATGAAAACAGCATCCACCGAGATCATATTCGCAAGAGTCCATACCGTACCGGACAACAGACACTCGCCTGCCTTGTACTAGTATTTGCTTGAAGTCCCGACCAGTCTTGAGTATTGACAAACACAGATAGAAAGACTGCGGAATAGTGTAGTTAAAAAAGGACAATATATGCATTTTGATCCTTAATCGAGGATAAATGTAGATTCTATAGCCCACAGCATATACTTACCATCAGGTGAACTGAGTGGTTATTTGTCACCTTTATTCTTTAAAAAGAAATATATTTTTTTCTGTTCGAAGTGTTTTAAATCAATCATGATATTAACATTATTGTTGTTTATTATTATAAAATTATTGTTAATTTTTAAATTAGTAAGCACCCTCTCAGAAATGAGGGGAGGCCTGAGCCCAGCAGTGGGACGTATATAGGCTGTAACTTTACTTTAAGCATTATTTTATTCATGTAGTTGTGGTATAAAAAAAATTCACAGCCCCATGTGATTCCTTGGGTGTTGTAAGTGGTGACTGGGTTAAACTGAACCAGAAGAGAGTCTGCAGAATTATCCTGACAATTAAAATTAATGAAAATCTGCATTTGCCATCCAATTTCCTTATCATGTGTTTTTAAAGCAGTTTATAATATTCAGCTGTTATCCCCTGATAAATATAAACTGGTTGCCGACCAATTTGCCGAGTGTTTCAAAAGGCAAATACCTGCCTTTTGAGACTATAAAAGGGGGGATGGGCAATGATCAGCAGTTGAATTTTGATAGGCTACAATAGAAATGGTGATAATGCAGTGTGTGTAGAAAAATTATCATCAGCCTGCGGGAGTCCACTGCTCGACATAGGCCTCTCCCAAGGCGCGCCACTTAGCCCGATCTTCGGCTTCACGCTACCAGTTGCTGCCAGCCGCCTCGCGCAGATCGTCGCTCCATCTAGCCAGGGGGTGTCCCACACTACGTTTACCTAAATGCAGTCTCCACTCTATGACACGCCTACTTCAACGGTTATCGCTTTTGTGACAAATGTGACCAGCCCATTGCCACTTCAGTTCAGCCTGCAAATATGGAATGCTATGTCGGTAACTTTGGTTCTCCAGTGGATTTCCTCGTTACGAATCCTATCCACGAGTATGAAGGTGGTTTGTAGGTTGTAAAGTCCCTTTTCTGCAGTCCGTCTGTGTTGGTACCACTTTCTGTCTGCTGTCAAGACAATAAGTACAGACTGTAAGGCCATTCTGTTTTAGTCCCAAAAAAAAAAAAAAAATTTATGACCATTAACTAAAGTTAGCTGTCAACATTCATGTTCTTCAATACTAACTAATCCTCCTTTTTCACTTATTTAAAAAGAATCTGGTGAGACAATGTCTGAATTTTATCAAAAGCTGGCTATTTTTTGGTTTTACTCTTCTAATTATTATTTGACTGCTCATAAAAGGGCAAATTGAAAATGAAATGAATAAATCTTGATGGTTATTTATTTATGGCATATTTTATTTTCTCAAATATACCAATGATGTTTTTTTTACATGTATTAGCTTCAGATTCAAAATGATTGACAAATAATTTGCTGACAAAATTCTTTAGATAATAAAAGCATGTTTTATTAATTATTATAAACTTAATATGGTTTCGTTTTGTTTCAGGTCTCTTTGACTAAAAAGCTTTATCTTAAAGCTGTGGTATTCCATTGTAAGCTTTATGAAGCTTGTGTAATTATAAGAAAATTTACTTTATTAAAAAAAGTGAAATACTGAAAACTGTCTTTAATTTAACAACTAAGTTATATACACACCATCTTCAATACAAAATAAGACATTGCATACATTTCATGTAAATTCACATTGTGTTATATACATACATAATTTAAAAAAAGCTATTATAACATACATTTTAGAGATCACAGGAAAACAAACTAAAATTTTTGCATAAAATAATAAACTTAAATAAACGGGCTAATGAACGTAAAAGAATAAAACATTTTCCACATAAGAACTTCTTAAGCTTGATGCTAAGATTCGGTGTACAGAAAAAACACTTCTACATATATAATAATTAGTGTCGGGCAAGGCTATCACAAACTTTAGGTACTGTAAAACGGGGTGAATAGGAACAAACTCAAGGTATTTTTTTCTACTTACTGATACTCTAGCATGCAGCCGAATTGACCTCTGCGACAGCTGTCAGTAAAAATCACGCCTGTGAAGTCCTGAATTTCTTAGTAGTACAGACAGTACCTGTCAATGTCATACCTTATGGGCATGCCGACCTAATTAGTGCATGCCCATAAAGTATGACATTGACAGGTACTGTCTGTACTGCTAAGAAATTCAGGACTTCATAGGCGTGATTTTTACTGACAGCTATCGCGAAGATCAAGCTATCTTTTATGAACCATAGTTAAAGTTCGGTATATATACCGTAGACAGAGAAACCTATAGACAAATTGACGCCTTCTTTCGCATTCGCACATGAAAAAGATTTATGCATGCGTCGTACATAGAAATGAGACAGAGATTGTTTGCCCCTTTCTCCGTGCCGGTTGTTTAGCAAAGTGTAGTTTAAATATCTTTGACAGTTCTTAGCGATCTAATAGTTGCGTCCGGACCGCGCTAGTAGCCGGTCACGTCTGTTGGTCGTCGGCTCCCGCCCGGGTGAGAGAAGTGCAGCGCATCGCTTTGCAGTGGGTGCACGTGCTGTGGGGCCAGATCTGCTTGCGTAAAGCCTCGAGGACGCCCCTGAACCCACCCGGGACGTTACATACCTAACGCTGCGTATAACCTACCGTGCTGGGAAGCGAACTACGAAGGCCCGGGGTGCTGCTAGGAGAGCGCGCGCCTGTTGGTGACTTTGGCTCCGCGTCGAGATGCGTCTCCGCGGGACCTGGAGGTTGCTGACCCTTCGACAGATCCCTTTCCAGAGGCGCGAGATAGGCCAACTTCTGCCTAGGAATTCACCAGGCCTTAACCTAGAGCCAGGGAGGAGCACTGGAGGCCCGGAGTGCTGCTATCAGGAGCGCACACCTGTTGGGCAGGATTGGCCCTGCGTCGACTCCCTGTCCGCGGGACTCCGCGGGGCTTTGAGACTGCTGACCCTCCGGAAACACCTACCTGGCGGCGCGCAATACGCCAAAGCAGATTGCCTACAATGTCGTACAATGTATGGCTCCCAGGACCGGCCCATAGAAATGGGCTGTGAGGATTACCCGGGTAATGTAACACTCCGAGGCCCGAAACCTGCATGGGATGAACAAGAGTAGTCCATTGTAGATGACAAACACAGCGGTCTAAGAAGTTTACAAGTTGGTTTAAGTGAAAAAAACTATTTTGTGAACTTAAAATTGGTAAATCTTGTTTAGTTCAGTTCTTAGAACAATTAAAATTTTTATCTAAATATGTTGTAAAAGTCATAAAGATTATTGTATAACCTAAAACTACGTTATCGTCCTTTCTCACTCTAGGCCACTCTAATCATTAGTCTAGGTTTCTCTGTCTACGATATATTCAGTAATCTATGTTAAAGTTGGTTAAAATGAACAATTGAAGTGCCATAATTTAGTTCCGTAAACATTTAAATTTTAAAATAATAAATACCAATTTCGGTTAATACTGATTGATTAATTTTATCGTGTTATTGTTCCGGACCCAAGAAACTATAACTACTAAGGTAAGTTAAACACTACATATTTACGATATAAATGGTAATTTTTAAAGGACATGCATTTATTGATAATCTTGGGGTGACTATAGACGTGTGAGGGGAGAACAGAGACAGGAAAGGGGTATTTTGGAACGGATTTGAGGTGGTTGTCAAAATAGTAAGAGCTAGCGAACCCTCCGAATAACGGTCTTCCTGTAAGGTTGAAAATTTGTACACTTAGCATTTATAGCACGCCAAGGGCAATAGCCATGACCTGGCAGGCGTCAGCCCTGCACGTCATCAGCCCCTTTATTTTTAAATTGTAAAATACTCGTAAATAGAGTACCTATATAAACTTGTTTCTCTAAGCTTAAAAATTTAATGGGGTGTAGTTTATTTATTGTAAATCTTGAAAAAAAAAAGTTGACAAGCGATTGCAATGAGCAAAAGTATGACAGGTGAATTGAAAGGAGCATAGTTGATGAGGTAAAAACTTAACTTTCTCGTAACGCCTGTCAGGTCATGGTTGTTACCCTTGGCATGTTATAAATGCTAAGTGTACAAACCAACCTTACAGGAAGACCGTTACTCGGAGGGTTCACTAGCTCTCCAGCTAAAAATTACTTTGGTCTCTTATTTGGTTGTGTATATATATCAATAGGAAGTCATAGATATGTAAATAACTAATACTGAAGTTAAGTAAGCGATAATTAACGATTACAAGTAGGTCCGGTAATGTTTATTTTATTTAGAGTGCATCATAGATTACCGAATATATACTAGAGAGAGTGCATACTACATGCTCAATAAGTCATGATCTGATAAAATGACGAAGGTTAAAGATATTTTGTGTACATCATATTTTAACAAATAATTTTCATTGTTTACAGAACGCTATCATGCCTCGCATTTATAAACCTAAGCTAGGTATAACAAGTAAAGTATGATAAGGAAATAATTAAAAAAACTCTCGAAGGTTTGAATTTTAATCACGTGTCTATAAAATCTGGCCGACAAGTATGGTATATCAAAATCCACTCTTCATCGCCGTACTAATGAAAATATAAAACTCCCTGGGGGCCAAACAGCGGTAACACCACATATAGAAGATCTATCAGTAGAAAACTTAAAAACGTGTGCAGATTGGAGATATCCCCTAGATGCAACAGACTAGATATTTATTTAGTCAAAATGTATCTTAGAGTCTAGACACAATGGATAGTACACAAAAAGTTCAAAAATAATTTACTAGGAATAAATCACACAAACGGTTTCCTAAATCGTCACAAAATAACATTTGAAGGAGAATTTGCCAAAAAGTTAAGAGATCTAGGCCTGCAGTTTCACTAGAATCAATAGAGACATACTTCTGTGAGTTAGGAAAATCCTTAGAAAATGTTCCAGCCACAAATATTATTAATTATGATGAGACTAATCTCTGACGATCCTGGCGGGAAAAAAGTAATCATAAAACGAGGTTGTAAATACCCGGAAAGGGTAATAAACCATTCAAAAGGTTTAACATCTTTGATGATGGCTTGTACAGGCTTAGGGGAAATATTGTCACCGTACAGTTTATAAGGTTTCACACCTCTATAACACATGGGTCGAGAATGGTCCAGAGGGTGCAAGGTACAATTGGTCTAAATCCAGATGGTTTGACGGTGATATTTTCTAAGACTGGATCGAAATGACAGTCGTATCTTTTTTGAAAACAAAAAAGGAAAAAAATCTCATCGGAGACAACTTACCGTGGACCTGATAAAATTGTGAAGAGTTCTAGTTTCTGGATGTTAACGCTGTTAGTCTATGCGAATCTTACAGCTTCATCTGACTCAGATCGGCGGTCCCTGAAGAAGAAATATCTTCTAAAATTGGGAAATTAGACGGTCATAAAGGAAAAGGGAAAAGAGCGTGGTATCTCAGATGGTTAACGCTCGCTGTAACTATAACAGAACGCGAGTAATCCGGGTTCGATCCCCACCGCACCAATGAAATTGTTAATTTCAATTTTAAGTGCTGATTTACCACATGCTCAGCGGTGAAGGAAAACATCGTGAGGAAACCTGCATGCCTGAGGAATAAGGAAAAAAATATTTCGAAGACATGTGAAGTTCGCCAACAATCATTGGGGCAGCGCGACGGACACTTCCTTGCCCTAAAACCCTCTCAGAAATGAGGGGAGGCCTGTGCCCAGCAGTGGGACGTATATAGGCTGTAACTTTACTTTTTTACCTTTTTAAAGGAAAAGGGATAAAGAGGAAAACACAAACTCACTCTCAAGAAATTACCGACAGGAAAGTGCCTGACGAACCTGGTGATAGAAAAGAGCACCAAAGTGCAGCTAAAACCCTAAATTTTTGTATCTCAAAACAAATCGGCAAATAGACGATGAGAGATGGGATAAGATGGGAAAGAAAATTTATCCCAATATTACCGGAAGCTGGATCATCAAGAGATATTAACCAAAATGTAAAAAAATACTGGTGGGAGTGATTCATATATTATATTCCAAAACGTTCTTAGAGGAAAAGATCAGAGTCAATTAACGTAGAAAAATTTGCACATTGTTTTTTTCATTAGATTTACAATATCAATACGAAGTGACCATCACAAGCTCAGGCTGAAGAAGAGATAAAGAAATATACTAAAAAGGAAAAAGAAATAAAAATCATATCAGATATTAAATTACCATTGCCACCCTCTAAGAAGAAAAAAATGAAGTCTAACAAATTATTGCAATAACGAAAGTAAAATTTTGAAATTTTAGATTAATTTTTAAGATTGATAGAAAGTAAGGTTTTGTTGAAATTGTTATTTTTATTTCAATTTTATTTAGTTGATAATAGTATATTGTTTATGAGGCATAGCAATAATATTGTAGCAGCCAGACTAATCAACCCTAAACGGGAATAAATAATATATACTCTGCTGCTACCATAACGCGCAAGGCGAAGATAAAAAACATTTATTTCCTACCACGGCCACAGTGGCGACCCCGACGTGATTTGAACACACAACAAACAAACTTCGGAAACATCAAGCTTCATCATCGTCATAGAATACCCCACCCATTCGCTCCCGAGCAGATATCGTCTGCAGTCTTCATACCCTGCAAGCCATCTAGCTTCACAAGGTTCATCGCAGCACTGGAATAATAATGCTTCCTGTTCCTTCAAGCTACTCTCTGTGCCATACAGTTATCGGCACGGCTCTGAGCCTTACTGCTCGCCTTTGCTTCACGGCACTCTCGCAGATTACTTGCCTTCTTCTCGACTCACCGCAGACTACAAGGCAATCTCCTGGCACTTGCACATTCGTCGGCAACGAGGCTGCACTATCGACCTCCGGTCTGAGCAGGGGGGTGATGTAGCGGCGCTGTCGTCGCGCCACTAGCACATCGAAACACACCGAAGCTTAAATCACGCTACAACATTCCGAATCATAAACAGTATATATAGAACATCTCCGAACATCACACGGAGTGTTGGCCGCTCCCTAGGCAGAACACCTTGCCCGGCGGGAGATCTCTCCTTTTCCTTCCACGGCCACAATATACTTTTGAAAAGAAAATCTACAGTTTTGTTTGCTGACTGTATTATGTACTGATCTCATTAAATAAATACTTTCTATGCTATTATATTTATTTTATTTTGCATTATTACGTGAAATTGAAAAACTAATTTTATCATGTTGAGTAAAAATCTGTGGCAGCCCTAGCTGCATACCGGATTCACCGCTCTTTCGTTCCTTTTCACCCCAACCACGAGGTGAGTCGGTATCGGGCATATTTTTCTGTTTATCTCGTAAAACTTACATTTTTATGCAGGAAAAGTTCTATATAAGGAAAAGTTTCAGCCACCGGAAGGAATATTTAAGTAGTATTCAATAACAAACAAAATGATAACATATAAAAGTCTGCCCCAGTTCTTGAAATCGTTCCTATTCACCTCGTTTTACGGTAACAATTAGATTGTTTAAAGTTATATTAAAAGTGTCATACTCTACATATGTTTTGGTAAAAATGGGTTTTTTATTCACCATCATTACAGCGCTTCACTAATTCGTTGTTGAACATCATTGAGCTATTATCTACTACGTACTAGAGGCGACACTGCATTCAGCTACTCTGTTCCACTCAACTGCGGTGCATACACCGCACTTTAATCTGTGACTCGCTAGGTTGTCACGTGTTGTGTTGATTTAAAAAAAAAAATGTCTTGATAAAAATATGCCGTGTGTACTTAGATATTGCACAAATAATTCAAGAAATGTCATTAAAAACCAAGGAATTACTTTTCATTAAGTATTAAAGATTAATAATAAAACAAATTATTCCTAAGACGCCATCTCGTGTCATGGAATATAGATTATGAAATTAATATGTTCAGATGCGACATTTCTGTGGGTACTTAAGTATAGGACGAATATATTACTATACACATTTTTTGTAGAAACATATACAAGTTATTATAATTTGGCAAAATTTTTCATGTTGAAATCTGCGTATGCTTTGATTTTATTTTTAGGTTTCCACATCAAAGTCAAAGTGGTATAAATTCGTCCATTTTTAACTCTCGCGCCCAGCATTTATGAACGACTTTTATTCTAACTTAAATAAATATATTTGTAATTTAAATATTATGTTAATAAATTTCGTTAAACATACATTTAGTATGTTTTTTATATTTGATTCAGATACCTTTTAAAATGTTCAGATAAAAATATCATTAAAATGTAATTGTGATATAGATAATATCATGTAATATTATATTAAATAAGCAAATATAATATACAAAATAAATGACAAAATTTAAATATTGTTCTCTATGTAATTTACCTATTTAACAAAACAATCTACTATTACCTATGTTTATTCATTCATTCTAACTATGTTTATTCTATCATAAAAAAAACAACCGCACGAACACAGAGTAGCGCACATTTTTTGTTTGAGATAGCTGTTCTAGTACGTAAGTACATATTACTTCACTGTTGAACATAGACAAAGTTTTGTTTTGGTGTGTCAGCCATTAACATTTTTTATGTCAAATGGGAAGAAAGAGTTAAACTGATTCGAAGCTTCTAGACATGCGTCAATCATTCATTTCTCGTGGCCGAATCACTAGTACATTTCGTCATGCCTCCCGTACATTCGGATCGATCATTCACATGGATCATTTCGGGCTTTAGTACCCTACACTGAAAACAATTCATTCAGATCATTCGGGATTCGGTCGGTTTTCGACTCATTCATAATTCACACCAATCATGAGTTATAAAGGTTCCGTCAACTGTTTGTGATTGGTTGTACTGGAACATTCAAAAACAGTCTAGAAGCTTCATCTGGATCAATTTGCATTGAAAACCTTCGTCCCCAACAACTTTATAGATCTACTAGCTGTAACCCGCGTTTTCATCCACGTGGAATTTATTACAATTGAATTTCATTGGTTTTAGTTCTTTTGCGCGGACCTAATTATTTTTCTAAAATAAAAGTAGCCTAAATTACTCCTTATAACATCAAGTTCCGTCAAAATAGATCTAGCCATTTCGGAGATTAGTCGGAACAAACAGAATTTTTTGTTAAGGTACCGTGTATACTTACATATACATTTAGTAAAAAGCTGTTACTTTGACACCGTCACTAAACACTATTTTTTTGCATGTTTTTCACAAAATCAAAAACTAAGAAATTCTTAAATTCATATATTAAATGATCTACACTAATATGTTCCAAGTTTATCACAAAATTATTAGCCCCACATAGCTCTCTGTACACCTGAAAGTTTGTTGTAGTCTGCCAAGTGGCGCCATACAATACGGCTCATACGCCACTCTTTTACAATACCGCGAGGTCTGTAATCAAAAAGAATATCATACAAAATTATATTTTTTTTTAATGTACCCCCCACTAGAATTTTCTCCTATATCGTGGTTGTCGTATACTCCATACGAACATAAATTGCACGAGGACAAACAACCAGACCCAGAACAATTATTTGTAGGCCATACAAATACTTGTTCTTTGCGGGATTCGAACCCCCGGCCGTGAGCGCCGCAACTCAATGCTAAGTCATGCGCCACAAAGTTGTATTTACATACAAAAATACTTGTTTCTTGCAGGATTTGAACCCGTGGTCTTCAGCGCCAGAACTCAATGTTGACACTGTGTCACAGAGTCGTATTTATTAAAAATAACATAGATCCCCTCAGCAGAGATCGTGATCCTCGGCGACTTTAACGCCCATCACGCCGATTGGCTTGGTTCACGTTTAACCGATCATGCGGGGAGATCTGTTCATGATTTTGCCTTGGCATATGGTCTGACACAACTGGTTACTTCGCCTACACGGATTCCAGATGTGGAGGATCATGCACCTTCCCTGTTGCACCTTCTGCTGACCTCGCACCCAGACGGATATCAGATTTCCGTCGACGCCCCTTTAGGCTCCTCGGACCATTGTCTTGTCCGGTATGTGGTGCCTCTCACGCTGAAATCGCAATTGCATTCTGCAGGCTGCCGTCGTGTTTGGCACTATAGGTCAGCCGATTGGGATGGGATGCGGTCTTTCTTTGCATCCTACCCTTGGGGGCGGGTTTGCTTCTCGCCGGGCGATCCCAACGTTGTTGCGGATTCTGTCGCTGATGTGGTACTTCACGGTATGGAACTTTTTATTCCTTCCTTTGTGGTGCCCATTGGAGGCAAATCTCAGCCGTTGTTTGGTCGCTCCTGTAAAATAGCATCATGCTATAAGCAGGAGTGCTACCAAGCATGGGCTGACGCATCAACGTCCCGGGATGTAAACACCAGCGCTCTAAAAAAGAAGTATAATTCCGCCTCTAGGTCCTTCAAAAGAGTCATTGCCAAAGTCAGAGCACATAGACAGAATTGGCGAGAAACTAGTTCGCTTTCCTTCTGGAACCCGTGCATTCTGGTCTCTCGCCAAGGCTGTCCAGGGGAATTTCTATCAGCCATCTCTTCCATCTCTGCACAGGGAGGACGACTCACTGGCCCATACCGCAAAGGAGAAAGCCGATCTACTAGGCTCTTTCTTTGCGTCCAACTCGACTCTCGATGGCGGGGGGAGTACGCCGCCGACCATCCCGCGGTGTGAGTGCACCATGCCGGAAGTGCAGTTTACACAGCGCTCGATTCGCAAAGCCCTCCTCTCCCTGGACATCGACAAGTCGAGTGGGCCTGACGGAATCCCCCCAATTGTGCTGAGGACGTGTGCTCTAGAGTTGACACCGGTTTTAACGCGTCTTTTCCGGTACTCCTACTCCCTAGGCGTAATCCCAAAACCATGGAAGACGGCTTTCGTCCACCCGATCCCTAAAAAAGGTGACCGCTCAGACCCGTCCAACTACCGGTCTAACGCCATCACCTCCTTGTTCTCCAAAACAATGGAGTCTATTGTTAACCGCCGCTCATGAGGTACCTTGAGGATCACCAGCTGATTAGTGATCGCCAATACGGTTTTCGATGTGGTCGGTCAGCTGGTGATCTACCTAACTCAGGCTGGTCTACCTAACTCAGATGGGCAGAGGCAGTAGAGTCCAAGGGGGAGGCATTGGCCGTTAGTTCGGGCATTGCGAAGGCCTTCGATCGGGTTTGGCACAAAGCGCTTCTTTCGAAGCTCCCTTCCTATGAGCTTCCCGAGAAATTGTGTGATTGGATCACCAGCTTTGTTGCAGATCGGAGCATCAAGGTCGTTTTAGACGGTGCAAGCTCCGATTACAAGCCTATTAATGCTGGTGTTTCACAAGGCTGCGTGCTATCGCCAACGCTGTTTCTTCTGCATATCAGTGATATGTTGCAAACCCGTAACATTCATTGCTATGCAGATGACGGCACTGGTGATGCTCTTTACACCGACCGTGCCAATATTTCTCGGAAAAACGTCTCCGAGTACCGGGACAAACTTGTGCTTGTGTCTGAAGTCGAGTGTTTGCTGAACAGAGTCTCGGATTGGGGGCGACTAAATCTAGTCCAGTTTAACCCCCAGAAGACACAAGTTTGCGCGTTAACCGTTAAAAGGAACCCCTTTATCGTATCTACCCAGTTTCAAGGCACTCCTCTTGTTGCCTCAGCCAGTATCGGAATCCTCGGCGTCGACATATCGAGTGACGTGCAGTTTCGTGGTCACTTGGAAGAGAAGGCCAAATTGGCCTCTAAAAAGCTTGGCGTGCTCAGCAGAGCGGGACAGTATTTCATGCCGGCACACCGCCTGCAACTTTACAAGGCGCAGGTTCGGCCGCACATGGAATACTGTTCCCATCTCTGGGCTGGGGCTCCCCAGTACCAGCTCCTTCCCCTTGACCGCGTCCAACGCAGAGCGGCTCGAATCGTCGACGACCACGTGCTTTCCGATCGGCTCGATTCATTGGCGCTGCGAAGAGATGTTGTATCTCTTTGCGTTTTCTTTCGCATATACCATGGGGAGTGCTCTGAGGAATTGTTCGGATTAATCCCAGCCGCCAAATTTCGTGAACGAACTACGCGGCAGACGTCCCGAAATCATCCACACCATCTGGAAGCTTGGCGGTCCACTACGGTACTTTCCCACCTTTCTGTGGAATAGTTTACCACCGGCGATTTTTCCGGACCGATACGACCTGGGGACCTTCAAGAAAAGAGCTTACACCTTTCTAAAGGGCCGGCAACGCACCTGCAATTCCCCTGGTGTTGCGGTTGATCATGGACGGCGGTAGTCACTTAACATCAGGCGAGTTGCATGCTCGTTTGCCCCCTCTTCTATTAAAAAAAATAGTAGTAGGTAATTAGTAGGTAGTTCAGAGGCTTGACACTTGCTTTAAATGTATTAAGAATAGCATGCCAGCAACACGGTTCAAATTTCGCTGGCACTTTTAAAATTGTAGATTGCAATAAAGCGACTGTAGCCTAATGGCAGGGCGCGGACCGCGCCTCGAACTCAAAACGGTCGTGGGTTTGAATCCACCATTCGACTACTGGCGTGAACCACTCGTAACACAAGCAATTTAAGCTTACCACGAGTGGTTAAGGGGAATATTAGTTATGTTTATAGCATTGTTAATATTCTTTAAAAAAATATTTAGTACTGATTGTTGTTGCCTGCTAACATATTCGGGAGTGAAGGATTACATTGTGAGCAAACTTGCATGTCTTAGAAATCATCATCATAACCAACAACATCAATGCATGTCACAACATAGACTTTAGCTTAACGCACATTTGTCAGCATCGTACAACATTTATTGATGGCCTCGCACTTTGGCACGTAGGCGCCGTTCGCAATTCTTTTGTATTGCCAACAATTTTTGCAGTTTTTTCCCAACCACTGATGTGAAACAATAGTGACATTGATCACTCTCAATCGCTATGGAAAAAAATATTGTAATAGTCTGCTTATTGGCAGGAGAAGCAGAAAATGAAATTCGAAGAAAAAGAAGATTCTGGATTCATAATATTAATTTAAAAAGGCAGTTGTTAGGAGAATATTATACTTTATATAAAGACTTATTAGATAATGATTAGATAAAATACGGCGCATACATTGCGGCTGCCATGTGCAAGGTTTCATATGATTTCATAGAACGAATTCTAAAATGCGGCGCGTACGAAGCGTACGGCGTGTATGGTGCTGGGAAATGTGCATTCAGCTTTAAGAAATGCCACAAACCACACTACCAAAACCACTTGCATCCTTCAAATTTGTTCACAATTTGAGTAAGATACTGGAATATAATAATCTACACAGAGGTGAACTAGCTGTACTATCTTCATTAGCATTAAAGAAAGTATCCTACATAACAAAATAACAAACCTTGAAGTTATTACACATCTGTTATTAATTCTTAGTGGGATTGCATTCATCTCAAATTTATTAATTTCTTTGTCTGCTAGCTCTCGAATTTCAATTGGTAGTACATCATTTCTCCTCATTGCATTTATTCTTGTCCTCTCAAGGAAATTTTCAGCGCTCATTCGCCGCCTTTTGACATCACGAATCATAAGCCAATTTGCCCATTTATTTCTAACTTGCTGGAACTGAAACAATAATGTCTTAGAGGTGATTATATTTTGTACTGAATGCATTATTTGAAATACGATGTTTTATTGAAATATAATTATGGATAATTATTTATTTAAATTTAGGTAAATCAGGCGATTGACCAAGGTATCTATCTCTGCCTGTCATTAAACTTCATGGTAGTCTGTATAGATTAAATAGCTCTAATAAACAATGCAATTATAACTTGTAAGGATTAACCCCGTAAGTCTAAGCACTGAGTGGAGAATTTTTGGTGGTGTACATCATTGTCATAATTACTTATGTTATTTTCCAAAATGGTGTGGGTGTATGAGCTAATAAATATTATACCTTTCAATGACAAAAACATACCTTGTTTAAACTTTACCAGATAAACAATGTGCTCTAAGATTAATATTTTTATAAACATTATCTGCATAGAAGTATCGGAATAGATATCACTCTTACTTTTTCTGGTGATACGAGGGTGACACTGAAAGTTCTTAGAAAATCAAAAACTGAACAAACTAGCAAGTTATTAGTTTTATTATACAGGATGGGCCAGAATAAAGTTCACTTGTCTTTGGCAAATAGATCGTCATACGTGGGAAGTAGCGGGGTGCGCGGGGTGTGACCGGGTCACGCGTCTTACGCAATTTTAGTCGCCATGAGTCAGTTCACGGGGGAGCAGCGCGCGTTCGCGGTTCAAGCGTTTTACGAAAATGGTCATTCTTACATTATTGTGCGGCGTATGTTCAGCGTTAAATTCAATTTACGGAGTATCCGGTAGTGTCCTAGTACTCAGTTGCTAAAACAATGGCTGAAGAGGTTCCAAGAAACTGGTTCGACACTACAAATGAGACGTCAAGGTCGCCCCCGTACTTTACGCACGGAGCAAGCGATTCAGGAAGTTAATCGATCTGTCCAATAAAATGCGGAACTCTCTACGCGACGACGTTCAGCGACTTTGGGGATTTCGCGAAGCAGCTTAAGACGAATTTTGAGACAAGATTTGAAGCTTCATCCTTATAAGATCCAGTTGGTGCAAGAACTTTCCTATGATGACCATACAAAAAGGGCGTCATTTTCCACCTTGATGTTAGAGCGGTTTTCCAACTTCGGGAACATCCTTTTCTCGGACGAAGCCCACTTTTACCTGAACGGATTTGTCAACAAGCAGAATTTCCGTTTCTGCAGTGCTGAACATCCTTTGCGCAAGCATCAAAAGCCACTCCACTGCCAAAAAGTGACGGTTTGGGCTGCCATTTCAGCCAAAGGGCTGATTGGGCCTTATTTCTTTGAAAATTGTCGAGGTCACGCAGTAAAATACAGACCGTTATGTGGAAATGCTTCAAAAGTTTTTAAGGCCAAGCCTTGCTGGGCTGCAAGAGTACAACTCCCTGACCTGGTTCCAGCAGGATGGGGCCACCTGCCACACGTCTAATGCCAGCATGGAGGTCGTACAGGAGCTGTTCCCCGGTAAACTCATCTCAAAGAGAGGTAACATCGATTGGCCATCACGAAGCCCAGACTTGTCCCCACCCGATTTCTTTTTGTGGGGATTTCTCAAGAATAAGGTCTATTCCAATAAACCGACGACAATTACTGCCTTAAATGCGAACATTCGAGCAGAAATGGCGCCCATATCAACAGCAACGTGCCGGCGTGTTTTTGAAAATTTAAAGTCCCGCTTAGAAGAGTGTTTGCGGCGAGACGGGGAACACCTAGACGATGTTATTTTCAAGAAGTAAATTAAATTAATGTTAAATTAAGTTGCTTTTTGAATAAACTCTCTAAGTATTATCAGTCTTTTTTTATATGGGTTTCAAAAGTGAACTTTATTCTGGCCCATCCTGTATCTTTACAAAATAGTGTCCATTTACATCAATACATTGCTGCATCCGATGGAACCACTGAGAAAAGCACTTTGCCCACTCGTCCTTAGGGCTCTCTTTGACAGCATTTTGAAACGCAGTCACTGCTTCCTCGGCGTCCATAAAACGTTTACCTCGAAGTTTTCCTTTTACTTTAAGGAGCGAGGTCAGGGCTATAGGGCAGGTGATCCAATAATTCTACGTCTGACGACGCCAAGTAGTCAACTGTTTAATTGGCGGTGTACGACGAGGTGTTGTCGTGGTGAAGGAGGATCCTATTGCTAGGTCGTTTGTCCCGAAATTTTTTTGGTTTTTCGATCCTCTAAAACAATTGTTGCGTAATGACCTGATTTCCTTCCGAAGAACGAGGCCACCATCTTTTTTCCCACTCTTCGACCTCTCTACACTTTAGTTGGCAACTCCTCAGAAGGGTTTCCACACAGCAGACTGTCTCATAATTTCAGGATCATAACAATAAATCCAGCTTGCGTCACCGGTAAGTATGTCGAACACAGCATTTGAAAAACCTCCGTTAAATCTTTGAACCACTTTGCGACACCAATCAACATTACGGAGTTTTTGGGCTTCTTCCAAATTATGAGGTTTTCACCAGGCACAAAGCTTCCTGACCGCTAAATTTTCACTTGACTCATACCGATGCATAAGCTTGTCCGAATCTGCTCATAAGTCACTCTTTTGTCAGTCTCTATAATACGCTGCACAACACTGATGTTATCTTCAGTCGTCGCTGTAGAAGGCCTTCCCTCACGCAGATCATTGCTGAGATTAGTGCGACCAGGTTTAAACCCATTAAACCAGTTGTTAACAGTGGCACGAGATGGGGCTTAATCGTGAAAGGCAAATCAAAGTCTATCATAACTTTTTTGTTGACTTAAATGACATCGAAAGTCATAAAAAATCATTATACGAAAATTTTCTCGCGTTAAATTCAGTTTTCAATTTGCCGCCAAACCGTAAACAAATGACGAATTAATAAAATACATACACAATAAGTTACTAAAAGTTTCATTTTCAAAATTAATACTTATTTATTTATTATATCGTTTACAAGTGGCCAGTTCTAAAAACTTTCAGTGTCACCCTCGTAAAGCATTAGTGCATCAAATTTTGTGTTCCTATTTGAAGAATGGTAAGAACTGAATGGCACCACCCCCTAACCTATTTCTGCCACCAAATACTAGTGCCTGCACTACTATGTTCGCATCTGAAGGGTATTTAGAGCCAATATAATAACAGGCTGTGAGGCACTCCATCTTTTTTTTCAATTTGGCTATAGGTGTTCTTAAAAATACAACACGTACGAATTAACTTGAGACTCCGCTGGAATGCGACCCCCTTCCCAACTCCCCGCACCGCGTCCCACGCTGGCCGTGCGCGCTCAGTACCGATAGCATTTTTGTTACGGATACGCGTCTCGACTCTAGTTCGATATTTTTGATAATTGTGTATTGTTTGGTTTGGACTTTTGTTTGTTTTTGTTATACTTGAACGTTATTTTATCTGTTTGTTGTTAATTGCGTTGTTTTATTGTTAAGTTTGGACGTTGTGTTGTGCCGTTTTCTTGTGACGCTTAGGAGTTACTCCGCCTTTATTATTTTTAAAAAAAGATGGGAGGAAAATGAAATGGATGGAAAATGAAGGAAAATGGCAACAGTATATCACTTATTACTTCACCCCTTGCCAGAACATTTTATTTTGTTTTTATTAATAATCTCATGCAAATCTCAAAAATTTCAAATAAAAAAAATATTACGACGCATTATTTTGCACACCGTACATTGACAATTACGTCATCGGCGCAGGTCTCAAGTTAATTCGTACGAGTTATAAGTGATATTCATTCTGTAAAGACTAAGAACAGGACACAAGCTACTCACTACTCTACTAGTCTCTACCAGTTACTCGACTCCACCGAGTCAGTAACTCATCCCTAGGGCGATGTTATGCACTTTTACAACACAATCCCAGAAAATATACAAAATTTGACCTACACAAAGTTCAAAAACTTTATCAAACTGCATTTGTAAATAATGAATACGGGGTCAGGCGGAGGAAAAAAAAAAAAAATATATTGAATAAAAAAAGTTTCAGTTTCTAATTAGATCAGTTTATATCAGATTGTTTATCGCTTCGTTTTTATAAAAGAAAAACAATGAACTTACAGGAAGTATAGAAATAAATCTTATTTTTCAAGGTATCAATGCTTCACATGTGTCAGGTGGAGATATCATAGCTACAGCATATACTAACCATCAGATGGACATAGTCAATGTAAGCACTCAAATGGTTATTTTCATCCTCAAAATAATGAGATATACCTTTTTATTTATTTTTTTATAAGCAATTTTTTCAACAAGGTTTTGAGAAATATTTTACAATACCATAAATATATTAGGCATATTTTATAAAAAAGATATATGTACATTGATACCCTTACTTCCAATCTTATTTCCTGTATATGGGGTCAGTGTATTAGGTAATATAACAATTGAAACTTATATTCATAAAGAATTACATTTAAAGAAGATTGTATGACAAAACATCTATATGTCCATTCATACATCTATCCATATAATAGTCGTGTGGTGGCAGCGTAAGATTTTCTCACTGTATTTCGTCCCGTCAATGCCGTAAAAGGTAACTAACGAAAACTAGTCTTGTGTAGTTCGCGAACGATGAACGATTAGGAAACGTATCTTGGCACTGTACTAAAAGAATAGTTTCCGAATGCTGATTGTTAATTGGTCTAACAGCTCTTTTCGTACACCTACACTCGCAAGACACCAATATCAAAAGTAAACGTAAATCAAAAATCGGTCAGTAGCCAACCAAAGACAAGAGTACAAACTAATAACAAGTACTAGTGTAGACACTAGACACAAGCCAATGAATGCTTTTCTTATTCTGTCAGCTTCGAGCAATTATAAACTAGATTAAGGATTAGGAACAAAAATAAGTCGCACAAGTGGCCACGTTTGCACACACATGAGAAAAGTTTAATAACATTAACAACTTCAGTTTATTATCCACTCTAACGTCCGGGTGACCATAGTCGCCTAAAACTTTTTCCGGTTGAACGTTAGGGCGACTAGAGCGGCCTCTCTGACTTCTAAACTTTAAAC